ACTTGGCGGAGGCGGGGACGCTTGAGATGGACATTAGTGTGGTGGAGTTTCTGTTTGATAGCGCGCAGTATCTGAGGTCGGTTGGGAATATCAGTGGGGTGGTGTTGCCTGTGAATGGCAGTTTCTGGGGATATAATGCATGGGACGGCTTTGTACGAGGAGTTCAAGTTGACCAACTAGTCTAGATCTAGAGCCGATGACATTACTCATAATATATTCTACCCTACTCAAAATCTATTGTTTGCGAGTTTCAACATGCTCGGTGATCTCGGCGATGTTCAAGCTTGTTCAACAAGGAATTATAATAATGCAGCATTCAAAGATGAGACAACATGGGTGAGCATGATAAACCGCCCCCATCTACCGATGAGAACTTGGTCGATAAAGGTTGAGAATGTAAAGAAATCAGGGGAAAGCACTACTGGTAAAGGGAAACCAACTCCTTCCCGTAATTCAACTCCAAATCGCCACTGCTCTGATTATTCGTGGCAGCGAGGAACTTCTTGCCGAACTCCTGCGCCGCCGGCGTCTGCGCCAGCACCCCGATAACGTTCTGTGCATCCTGGATAAGCACATCCATCGGCGGGCGGCTCACGGCGTTGATCCCAGCCTTCGTCTCCGCAATCCCGGCGGCGGGGAACAACGCGATGCGGGCCGCGAGCGCATCGACGTAGTCGGCCAACTCGGCTGAAGTCGCAAACGCGCGGTTGACCCAGCCGTACTTCTCCGCGGTGACTGCGTCAATGTCCTTCGAGGCGAGTACGTACTCGAACGTGCGGCCACGGCCGATTTCGTGCGCTAGGTACATGGCGCCGCCGGCGCCGGGGTTGAGTCCGAAGGAGGTTTCGAGTTGCGCGAGGAGGACGGAGGGGGAGGTGGTGGCGAAGCGCATGTCGCAGGACATGAGGAATTCGTTGCCGATTCCGCGTGCACGCTATGGAAGTAGGTGAGTAAGTACTCCGGATTATTCGATCGAGAAGAGAAGCCTGAGGTCACGAACGCCCTCGATAACAGCAATTGTGGCCTGCGGGAGCTGCGTAATATTCCAGAGCAAGGCCACCGGGAACGTCATATTGGGAATCCCAGGGTCAAAGAATGGCAACGGGGATTCTACAATAGGATTCAGAGGGGCCAAATTTACTACCGGAGAGCGACTCACCGTAACCAGGCAAGAAATAATCAATGTCGATGTGCGCCAGGAAAAAATCCGGGTTTGCGCTGGAAAATACAACGACGCGTATATCGGTATCGTTTGCCTGCAGGGTTTCGATGAGGTTGGCCAAATCGGACTGGATATGCAGATCGAAGAGGTTGATTTCCGAATAGGTGTTGTTGATGACAACGTTCAAGACCCCCGAGGATTTGGTGGTCTGAAGCGTGCCGAAGGAGGGGTATCGTACCGCAGATACGGTGGCAGCGGCCAGGGCGAGAGAAATCCACAGTTGAGGAAACAGCGAGAGCATTGTTGTCGTGTTTGCAGGGGCTAGGTGGCGAACAGTGATAGATAGAGTTCTGTTACCTGCCGCTTTTATACCTGCTTTCAACCACTTGCTCTGTCAGCGCCGGGGACCTCCGAGCGCCGAAGTTGCTTTAAAGCTCGGGCAGTCATCGGCGAAGCGAGCTTGGCTGGCCGCTGAACTAAGCTGAAGCATAAGCCCGCCGTTGTGGCCGCTGAACGTTGAACGTTCAGCGAAGTGGGAAAGGGGACTTTGATCCGCGGCGCGTGATACGGCGCGTCGCGTCCCCTTCCACAAATAGAACCACACAATCTCCCTGTTCGGACGCAAGCCGTGAATATCGCTGCCTATCAGGGAGTCTTTTCGAGATTCCCTGAGTGTATAGCTGTGAGAGGTTGAGCCTAGCTTCAAATAAAACAAAAACAGGCTCAATTCCAGGAAATTCGGATCTCGAACCCCGACACCCGCCGAACGATTCGACTTGGAGGCACGGTCCGGGTGAGCGAGCGTGTGCCGTACACGAGATCCGAGGTGTTTATTGACCTAGTACGACTGATGACTTCGTCAGCCTGTCCTGGGGCCGCGAAAGAAAACTGAGAAGCACTCACCAGGAATGCGGCGGTGGAGGAACAACAACCCTTTTGAATCTCCCGAAAGTAAATGAAGTGTTCAGTCTGCGCGGGTCCAGGTGGTGTGTGAGTTGATATTGGACCCACCACAGAAAAAGAAAGAAGCAAAAATGTTGGGGAGATTCGGATCTGGGGAGTCGAACCCCGACACCCGCTGAACAATTGGGTTTGACGCTTTCGACGACTGTGAGCGAGGGTGTACCGTACATGAGATCCGAGGTGTTCATTGACCTAGTACGATGAATACATCAGTCCGTCTTTGAGGGAGCGAAAGACAACAGACTCAGCTAGCAGGAATGTTTGGATAACAGGAACCGCGACCCTCGTGAACATCTCAACGATGGGAAACGGACCGAAGTCTGCCCGAGTCGAGGTGTTACCCTAGATGCATCGCTTTAAGAGGTCAACGTTGAGCTCACCGCAAAAAAAAAGCAGCGATGGACATACTATTCGGATATGGGGAGTCGAACCCCAACGTTAACAACGCTCGCAGAAGACGGCGACCATCGACACACGGAGAGCGAGGATGTACCATATACGATATCCGACTTCTCCCCCACCTGGTACATTGAATATGATAATATGGGCGGCTCGGTGGGACGCGGCTTCCTGCGCCGATAGATTGAAAAAATTGAAGTACGAATTCAGTGAGTCGGAACCGCAGCGGCGACCTGAGCAGGCCTGAGCCAGAGTCCGGTACGAGGCAAAACCAATGGCAAAACCGGAGTTGGCGAGGGTCATAACGCGGGAGGAAGACGCCACCGAGAGTTGGAACGCGCGGAATACGGATTTGTCCGCCGTCTCAGGTCATTCTGATGTCGATGATGTGCGTCAACGAGGATCGACTGGCCGCGTCGCCGGTGCAGAGTGAAAGAGGGCGGAGCTGAGAGCTGGAGTTACAGGCATGAGAGGCAGAGAAGAGCTGGATGGATGTCTGTGCGGAATGTCGTTGTGGTGGAAGCGGAAAGAGAGCGGGAGCCGTCCACGGCCATCATTTGTTGATCCCATCTCGGCCGCATGTTGTCGCATCCAAGGTCGCATCGCATCTGCCAGAACAACATCTGAGCTTGTGTCGGACGACGATCCTCCGGTGCTCTGTACGAGCCTCTCCTTAGTCCGCCGTTCCAAGCAACAAGCAGCTGTATAAAGCAAATGGCGTCCTCCTCGTCCATCATTCATTCTGACTTCCTTTCCAAATTCCTGCACTCCCGACTTCGGCAGCTTTTCTTCGAATAATCGACATCATGCACGCCCAGCAGCTGTTCACCCTCTTTGTTTCCGCGGCCAGCCTCGCCCTCGGGGTCAGCGCCGCCCCCGCGTCCCGCGCATCGTCCGCCCCCGCCGACGTCGCGCGTGCGTTCCTCACCGCCTACTCGAACATGTACGCCATGGCCCACCGACTTCCGTGTTGAGTTTTGTGCTGACTGCTACGACTTTGTAGGGACTTCGACGCCCTCGCGGCCCTCACCACCGACGACTTCACCTTCTCCGACTCGGCTTACCCCCTCATCGAGGGTGCGTTCAATCCCCACTCCATAAATAAATACCTGGCAGAATCCTAACTGGAGAGCGAGCGCAGGCGACGTCGCACGCGGCATGTACCGGTGGTTCATCCACGACCAGGAGAAGACGCAGATGAAGGTCATTATCCACGACGTGCAGCCCAGCCCCACCGACGCCAACACCGTGCGTCTTCTCCCTTCCTACTCTCACGCCTTGAACTACGCTAATGAGGATTGGATGCAGGCGATCGCGACCTTCACAGACGACTACCTCTTCAACGGCAACCACGTCATCAACAACATCACCTCCACCATGGTCGTCTCCTCCGGGCAGCTCGTCAGCGAGGTCGATAGCTATTCGTTTGCGGCTTGGGCCGGTGCGTTGCGTCTCTTTCCCCGTCCCGCCCTCCCCCTTCTGTTTCTTTCCATCCGTTTTTTCCCGCTCTCCCCTACTTGTCGTTTCGAACTGAACTAAAATGGCGCGTATGTAGAACAAGCCCTAGGCCCCGTCGTCGGCCCCCTCGCCGCGCCGCTCTCGGTCACGCAGAAGATCATCCAGGTCACGGCCAAGGTCGAGCTCGACACGTTCTTGCTGTTCCACCCTCTGTAGATGTCTTGTGGGGTTCTTCCTCCCTTCTTTCTGTTGTTCTATATACATATAATTATGTGCTTGCACGATATCTGAGCGGAGAGCGTGAACCAAAGTGAACCAAAAAAGATTCCGGCGTTCCATTCGGATCCAGGGAATCGAACCCTGAGACTCGCTGTGTATATTCCCAGTCTTCCATTGAATATTGAGGGCGAAGGTGTACCGTGCACCAAATCCGATCTCTCTCAACCCGCTCGACATTGAGGTTTCTAAGTTCGTCTCGTCCTTGCGGCCGATGGGGTTTCCAAGGTCGCGTACTATATCCATAGTTATTGACCCTGAGTGCACTGTTTTCCCATCTTCGAGAAGAAATACTGGGCCGTGAAACCTGTTCCAGTTCCGCAATTCATTCAACGGGAAAATTAAATCAGCCTCGCTGTCCGAGAGAGCCTCGTGAACCAAAAAATCGTATCGACAACCGGCAACCATTTGGATCCAGGGGGTCGAACCCTGAGCCTCGCTGTGTATATTCCCAGTCTTCCATTGAATATTGAGGGCGGGGTGTACCGTGCACCAAATCCGATCTCTCAAACCTGCTCAGCATTTTGTGTTGAATTGAGGTTTCTTTCGTCTACATACCGACAGGTCCAGATGGCCTGTGGGGGTTTTCAAGGTCGCGCACTATATTCCTAGAGAGCACTGTTTACAGAATATCCAAGTCCCCCATCCACCTTCAATTCATTCAACGGGAAAATTATTAATAAATCAGCCTCGCTGTTCGAGGGAGCCTCGTGAACCAAAAATATCACAACAGATTCGACTATTCGGATCCAGGGAATCGAACCCCAACACTCGCTGAAGATATCCACAACCTGAGTCACCTGACTATTGAGATCGAGAGCGAGGGTGCACCATACACCAAATCCGATCTCTCTAACCAGCTCGATATTGAGGTTTCAACTTTCGTCTGAAGCCTGGAGGTCCAGGGGTGGCCTGTGCGGTTTTTTTATTGTCGGCGTATATACCTAGCTGTTGTCATTATCCGGCGAGGGTGCACCCTGAGTTCCCCATCCATCCAAGTTCAGTTCATTCAACGGGAGACTTACCCTTGCCGTTGGGGAAGATTAACCAAGAAAAAAAGACAGACGAAATCGACTATTCGGATCCAGGGAATCGAACCCCGAGACTCGTTGTGTATATTCGCCACTGTTATTGAGGACGAGGGTGTACCATACACCAAATCCGATCCTACGCATCCCCGGAAATCTCAGCCTGCCTCGAGCTTGGCATTCCGCGTCGAATTGGGCCTTTTCTTTTCGTCGAACAAAGCAACGAGGTCCAATAACAATTTCCGTCGGAGGAGGAGGGCGTGGCTCCGCACCACTCCTTGGGCCACCATCCGTCGAACCTTTAAGCCCTGAAATCTGATTCTTCAAACCCTGCTCAGGCCTCAACCTCCACCTCCACCTCCACGACGTCCAAAGCAGGGTTCAGCGATCGATTCTGCCGGTAATAATGTATCATCGTCCACACAACGAACTCCAAGCCGCAATCACGAAAACAAATGGTCCCAAAACGCAACCAAAATCCCAAATCCCAAATTTCCAGCCCATACTCATTCCCACTCACCACTCACCACTCACCCACCCACCTAATTGCGCACTACACCCTTGCCCGAATCAAGGATCTCCTCCAACGCGCCCATCTCGACATCCGCATCCGCAGGGCACACCAAGTCCAACCCGCGGCGCACGCTCCTCGGCCTCGGCTTCGCATTCCCCCGCTTCAAGCACCCCGGCGCGCGATATTGATACAGCTCCCACTCGGTGCCGTAGATCTGGTAGGTCGTCGTGTTGGTTATGAGGCCTGCGTTTGTACGCGCGTGAGTAATTCATTCAATAGATGCATTGGATGGGCAGAGAGGGACAGACTCACCGAACAGCTCCCCCTGCGCACCCACATTCACCGCAAGCGCCGCGTCCACGTCGATGTCCACGCACGCTTTACCTTTACTACTAGGTAGCAAACTGACACCAGCACTCAAACTCCCGACGACGTCGAGGAACACCTCGGCGGTAACGGCGCCGAAGGCCTGCAGGCCGAGCATGAGCGTGGGGGTGAGGCTGGCGGTGATGCTGCCGTGGAGGGCGGCGTTGGGGTGCGCGGAGAGGGTTAGGGCTGGGAATTTGAGTCAGTTTTGGCTTTCTCCTTAGTTTAAAAGTCGTTAAAAGGACGGGAAGGAAGCAATTGAGGAGGAAGAGATGGAAGATAAAGACAGAAAGAGACAAAAAAGGAAAACAGGGAACAAGACGCACCGCTCTCCCCGCGCGTTGCACTGCCCTCGCTGGCCTGCGTCCCGGGCGGGTAGAACCCCTTCGCGGCGGCGCTGTACGCCAGCTCGACCTCCAGCGCGAGCTCCGCGTCGAGCTCTGCGCCCACCGCGCCGTAGATGGCGAATGTCGGCTGGTTCGCAGGTATCAGTTAGTATTTGCATAGATAATTTTGGAATTGGAGTTGAGAAAGGCGCACCCCGAGGGAAAAGAGCCCTGGAAAATCAATCCCGCCGAGCGCGACCGAGTACAACGTGAGCTGGCCCGTGGAGACCGTGCCCTGAGCACTGTGAAATGAGTTACCCAACACGAGGTAGGACTAGGCAGGCACGCACCGTAGCGGAGGCCAACAACCTCAATCTTGCGCTCACCTCTCCCTCCAGCCCGCCGAACACCGCCAGCTCACTGAGCACCGGCGGGACGACCGTCCCCGCCACGATCAGCCCAATCGACACGCTCGTGGCATCCACCCGCGTCTCAAAGGCGGCCGACACGGATAGGGATTCGCCGTCGCAGGAGAGCGTGGCGTTTAGGAGCGGGAAGCTTTCGGAGATGTGCAAGGGCGGTCTTGCGGAGTTTAGGTTAGTTTGGGGTTGGGTGGGATAAATTGAAGGGGAGAAACGCACAAGTCGATGGTGTTGGTGCTGTTGAACGCGGTCCAGTCTATTGTATAGCACATTGAATTCGCGGATAGCGATAGCAGTTTACGACCATGACTTACTCCGGGGCTTGAGGTTGCGCTTCGAGGTAGTATCGCCGTTGCCCTGGGCCGCGGGGGAGTTGTATCCCTCGATGCTCAACAACACGGGGCCAGTCCTACCACCCGGCGCCAAGGGTGAATAGAAACCAGTAACATAAATAGAATAGACGAACTTGGTCACGTCGATAGCAGCAAAGTCAACGTCCACCGATAGGACGAAGACCGTACCGGTCGTGTTGCCCATTGAGGCATTGGCGTTCGTATTGATATAGCTGCTGGCAAGCGTCTGCTGCTCGGCGTCCACCCGGATCTTGGCCACACGCGCGAACGCCCCCGGACCGCACTAAATGGCACATTGGCAGGGTCAATTCAGCTTCAAAGTAAAGTAGCGGGTAGACGCATGATACGTGACTTACCGTCTCAGGCAAGCGCACAAGCGTATCCACCGCGCCCTGCCCCTCGAACAAGTGCTGGCAGGCGGGGTCGTGGCACACGAGGCGGATGTCCTGTGCCAGCGCGCCCGCGTCGCAGGCTAAGATGGTCCACCCCGCGGCGGGGGTGATATCGGAGACTGCGCGGGAGGCTCCGGACTACTCCGCAGTATAGCTTAGCGTTGAGGGAAGGCAAGTGTGCGAGGGAGACGACGACGCACGATTGTTACGCTTGCAGACACGGCGGGGTCGATACTGTCGTAGGAGCAGGACCCCTTGCAGGGGACGGACCAGTTGTTCCGCGCGTCGGCGCCAGAGTTGAAGACTAGCAGCGAGAGCAAAAAGACTCGGAGGATGGGCATCATGGGCATCGTGTGGGTGGAGCAGGAATTGAAGGAGAAGACGTTGGGGGACCCGGGTCTCATAAGGGCGCGCATGCACCATCACACGCGCATTGCCCGCTTGGATCTATCGTGATGGTGCTACAGAGTCGCAGAAGCTCCAGCGGACGGATTTGGCTTCATGACCGTCCGAGATGGCCAGAATGGGTGAGGGCCAAGAGTATCTGCTTCGGGCGAGTTGTCGTGAACGATGTTGAGCAAAAATTGTAGGAAGGCCAGCACGTTGTCGAATCGATGTTGACGGCGGGGAGAAAGACGAACATGGCGGGAAACGTGTGCTTTCGGCTGGCATCGGCACTGATGCCCCGAATAAAGCCGAATTCAACCAAGGTTTTCGCGGGCTGGATAAACATTCCATCGGATGCATCGGATGCGAGGCTATGGGGAAGTTGTTCTTTGTCTTATATGAAGCAATTGTCCGGTGAAGATTGGGACCCTTCGGTGGGGTGAACTTCGGGTGAACTCCGGAATTTTTCATTCAATGCGCATTCGACCTCTGGTTTTCTTCTCCCGCTGCACAAAATAGTCGGTTATTCGGTCGTTTCTGAGATGAGGGCGTGAAACTGGAGGCCACACCAGGAAGGCGACAACATAGTCTTCACCTGGCACATACTTGGCCTCGCAGACGGTTCGAACGCGACGCGTGCGAGAACGATGTCACGGAAAGGCGCCGGTGGGAGCCAATTGCCACCCTCAACCCCCTGCGAGGGAGTTCTACTGGAATTCAGGATAAAATCTGTCATGAGGTGCCCGAACGAGTACATATCCGACCTGGAATGTTGTAGCACCGCGCCCGATGTCCGAGGTCCAGTTCACCTCATTCGCTCAATAAGTCACCGTAATCTTGCTTTCAGAGGCTGAGCATAAAAATAAAGCATCAAAGCTGCCCGGGACATACAAATTGGGACCGTGCACAACATCCGAGTTCCCAATTCACCCAACTCATTGAATAGGTTGGCTAATTCTGCAAAAGCTGAGAGGCAGCCGAATTGAATTTGGATACGAGGAGTCGAACCCCGACACTCGCTAAGTTTTCCGCGTAACGATAACTCTGGGCAAGTGCACACCTAGTTTGTTCAATCAGTGAGCTCACTTTCAGAGCCCGAGGATAAAAAGAAAACATCAAAGTCGGCCATACCAATCCGGATATAAGGAGTCGAACCCCAACACTCGTTGAGCATTGAAAATCTTGATAAGAAGAGCGAGGGTGCACCGTGCACAATATCCGAGTTCCCAGCTCAACTCGTGTGTTCAATAAGCTGACTTATGTTGGAGGCTGGGCTCAAAAGGAAACAACTCGGCTCTATTCGGATGCGGGGAGTTGAACCCCGACACTCAGTGAAGATCAGTTTCTTGCAGAAGCATCGTGCACAATACCCGAGCTCCCAGTCCGCCTAGTTCGTTCAATAAACTTGCTTGCTTTCAGATCTCAAAAGTAAAAGAAAACATCAGGACACACATATTCGGATACAGGGAGTCGAACCCCAGCACTCTCTGGATATTCCATCCGGCCGTCTTAAGAAGAGCGAGGGTGCACCATGCACGATATCCGAGTTCCCAATTTACCTAGGTTATCCAACACGTAAGCTCGTTTGGAGAGGCCGACCTTGAAAAGAAAACATGGAGGCTGCCCACATTCGGATATGGGGAGTCGAACCCCAACACTCACTCGCAGATAATCCTGCGACCTATCTCAAAATAGGCGAGGGTGCATCATGCACAATATCCGAGTTCCTAGCTCATCTAGTTCGTTCAATAAGTGGGCGCATTTTCAACAGCCTGGAGTCAAAGAAAAGCATGGCGCGCTCACATATTTGGATACTGGGAGTCGAACCCCAACACTCATGTCGGAAAAATCCCAATCGGGTTGAGTCCGCATCCAACCTGTTCCAAGCCGTTGCATGCTGACATGCCTCGGCCTGGCTTGGAACGCACAGGTCAGAATCCTCCATGCGGTTCCAAGCCACCACGCGGGTTCCAACCTGTGCCATGGTTCAACGGGGCTTGTGAACCTTTCAACTGGTTCTATGGGACTGAAACCCACCCGGCGGAGCAAGGCGCGGCGG